TACTACTATTATTATTATTATTACTACTGTTCCTCATTTTCTTCGTATTGTTCTCATGTTCTACCTCTTCATCATTGATCTCTTCATTAAAGTGGCTCACTCCATTTTGCCGAGTCCCAGAGGGGGAAGTTGGCCGAACTCTTGGCTGGCATGGCAGAGGATGTTTTGAATTGAACATTGGCGACGCGGGGCGAGGAGGATAGGGATGGCGGAGGGCTGCTGAGACCAGCCCCAGGTGTGGGCTTTCGTTCCTCGAGGAAGATGAGACGGGCGTCGACTGCGCCAACATTAGCGCGTAATTAAGCTGCCTGCGTCAGGTCGCGCGTGAGCGCCCTCGTCTCGAATGAGGCGTTCCACGATGGCGGCTCGCGATGCCATCTCGCATGCTCATGGTGGCATCTTGTTGGGACGTACCCCGCGCGTCTCCCCTAGGGCAAGATTCACTGCATGAGGTTGCCTATTGCAGGTCGGCTTGTGCAGAGTTCTGGGATGTCCAGGCGACGCTCTTACTCGCTCTGTGGTTTTAGATAAGCGAGGTGCTGAACCCCTGGTGGTCGCGCTCCCTCTTCTTCTCCTCGTCCTCCTCCTCCTTCGAAGCGAAAATCAAGCTGCGCTACACTTCTTTCGGGGGTCCGCGCGGATTCTTCGGATCGGTGCTCCAGCCCTGTGGGTGGGCTTTCGCTTCTCGGCAAAACGGAAGGCCGCGCATATTCTTTGGGTTGGCGCTGGGCGCCACCTGGCGGCGCCTCCGCCGCCTCCCCTGGCCCGCGCCGCGCGCAAGCCCACGCGGGCCCTCGGAAGCTCCCTGCCTTTGCCGATCCGCCAAGCCCTCGGCCGTCTGCATCGCCCGCCCGCCCTCCTCTCCAACAGCCCCTGCCCTCCGCCCCCCTCCTCCTCGATCCTCCTCCTCGATCCCCCTCGATCCTCGACCCTTCTCCTCGATCCTCGACCCTCCTCGATCTTGGACTCTCCTCGATTCTCGATGCTCCTCCACCCCCGCCCCCAGAGCGAGGGAACGGTGCTGCCCCGGCGGCGGAGGAGTCCGGCACGATCCTCGTGGAGCCCGACTCTGCCGTCGGCCTCTCCGCCTACCGGGTCGCCGCCCTGTTCCTCGGCCTCTTCCTCCTCCAGACATGATCGCGTCGTTGAAAAATCAGGGCGGGAGGTTTTTGGCAATTTTCAGCCCCGGGGGGCCCTCACCGGGCCTCGGGGCCGCCAAATAACGATCCAGAACGAAAAAACGGTCCCGGGGAAAGGGTCGGGACTTCAGGGACGCCGTCCTGAAAAAGTCAGGACGTCGAATGTCCGGGCCTCCTGTTCCTCTTCCTTCCCTGCCATATCCTCTCCTGTTTTTTTCTCTTCCTCCTTCCCCTACCTCTTCCCCCTCCTCCTATTCCTCCTCCGCCTCATCCTCCTCCCAGCCAGCGTCTTCGCATGATTTGGGCACTTCTATGCTCACGTCGTAGGCTGCTCTAAGCTATTGCGCAGCAGCCAGGGCCGAAAGCTTTGCACCAGCGCACAAAGCTCCTGTAAGCTGTTGTCTTAGGCCACTGAGGCTCTTCTAAGGTAGCGTGCTAGACAACTTCATGCTGCTGCGCTGCAATCACGACTGAAAGTTTTGCATCCGCGCTCCTTCAAATCCTAGAGTACATCTGGCTTGGAGATTTTTGCTGGGGTCAACTGTTTTGGGCCCAATACAATCCACAACGCTCTAGGCTCCTCTAAGCTATCGTGCTATCGTCTTAGGCTACTTTCGGAAAGCGCGCCAGTGGTGGCCCTGAATACACAAAAGGGGGGGGGTGCTCGCAGAACCCCCCCGTCCCCTCCTTCAAAAAGGGGGTGAGATTTTCGAGCTCCCCCCCCCCCTCTCCCCTCCTTAAAGGGGGGGGTCCGACCCCCCCCCATCCCCCCCTTGAATGGCGAGGGGGGTGTCCAGACCCCCCCCCCTCCCCCCCTTGGCGCTGGAAAGGGGGGGGGAGGGGGTTCGACCCCCCCCCCTCCCTCCGTTTGCGCCGGCTAGGGGGCTGGGGAGGGGGTCTCTCGGGTAGTGAGTAGTAAGGAGAGTGTTTTGAGTAGCGATTGATGAGTAGTGGGTACTTGATAGTGAGTAGTGCGTGAGTCGCGAGTAGTGAGTAGTGAGTAGTGGGTACTGGGTAGTTTTAGTAGTGAGTAATGCGTAGAGATTTGTGAGTAGTAAGTAGTGAGTAGTGGGTAGTGAGTTGTGGGAAGGAAGTAGAGAGTAACCAATTATGAGTAGTGAATAGTGAGGAGGGAGTACTGTGTAGAGAGTAGTGCACAGTGAGTAGTTAGCAGGGAGGAGGACTGAGGGAATAGACAGTAGCGAATTGCGTGGAGTGAGTAGTGAGTAGTGAGTAGTGCGCAGTGAGTAGAGAGTCGTGCGCAGTGAGTGGTGGGTGGCGAGTGGCGAGTAGCGAGTAGGGAGTAGCGAGTAGGGAGTAGCGTGTAGTGAGTAGTGAGTAGCGAGTAGGGCCTTGTGAGTAGTGAGTAGTGAGGAGTTAGAAGTCAGGAGTCAGTATTGAGTAGTGAGTAGGGAGTAGTGCGTAGCGAGTAGGGGGTAGGGATTAGTGAGTAGTGGGTAGTGAGTAGTGAGTAGTGAGTACGGGGTCGTGAGTAGTGAGTAGTAAGAAGCGAGAAGTGGGTATTGACTAGTGGGTAGTGATTAGGGAGTTGCGAGTAGAACTGTTGTGAGTAGTGAGTCGTGAGTAGTGAGTAGTGGCATGCGACTAGTGAGTAGGGAGTAAGGGGTAATGAGTAGCGAGTAGTGCGTAGTGGGTAGCGAAAATGTCGTATTGGTTAGCGAGTAGCGGATAGTGAGTAGTGAGTTGTGGGCAGTGCGTAATGAGTAGTGAGCTGTGACTACTCAGTAGTAAGTAGTGGATAGTGGTTAGTGGGCAGTGAGTCGTGCTCGGTGAGTAGTGAGTAGTGGGCAGTGAGTAGTGTTGAAGTAGTAGTGAGTATTGAATACTGGGTAGTGAGTAGTGAGTGGTGCGTTGGAAGTAGGGAGTAGGAAGTAGTGAGTAGTGAATAGTGGGAGCGTAGTGAGTGGTGAGTAGTGGGTAGTGAGTAGTTCGTATCGGGTAGCGAGTAGGGTGCTAGTGAGTAGTGACTACTGTGTAGGAGTGAGGGAGTAGGGAGTAGCGAGTAGTGGATAGTGAGTAGTGAGTTGCGGGCAGTGAGTAGTCAGTAGTGAAGTGTGAGTAGTGAGTAGTGGACAGAGGGTAGCGAGTAGTGACTTGTGATTAGTGAGTAGTGGGTTGTGAGTTGTGTTGAGTGAGTAGTGGTTATTGAGTAGTGGGTAGTGAGTAGTGAGTAGTGAGTAGTTTGTAGTGAGTAGTGACTGGTGAGTGGGGAGTAGGGAGTAGTGAGTTGTGGGCAGTGGGTAGTGAGTCGTGGGTAGTTAGTAGTGAGTCGTGAGTAATGAGTAGTGGGCAGTGAGAAGTGGGTAGTGAGTAGCGAGTGGTGAATTGTGGGTACTGAGTAATGCGTAATTGGTAGTGAGTGCTGTTTTGGGCTAAGGTTGGGGTTTGGGGTTAGGCTTGGGGGTTAGGGTAAGGGCGAGGATCAAGCTAGCCAGCTCGAGCGAGTCAAGCATGGCATGCCCAGTCCCACCCGCCCTCCCACAGCATAAGAAACAGTGATGGCACAACTGGGGGCTGCGCGGGCATTCCAGTGTCGCAGGTCCCAGAGCGCTGACTTCCAGGTCCCAGAGCGCCCCAGGAACGCCCCAAGAGAGCCGAGACGCCCCCGAGACGATCCGAGGGGCCTTGAGTCGCCGAAAGATCGTTCCAAGACGCCCAAGATGGCTTCCAGACGGCCGCAGACGCCGCCAAGAAACCGCGGGGAGCCTCAGGAGGCCCTCCAAGAGCTTGGACAAGCAAAAACCTCCCAGGCATTCGTCACCGCAGGGCCTCCTGGAACGCCCCGGCGCCCAATGAATTGGCGAGCTAAAAACGTGCGCCGAGCCAAAGCGGGAGCGCAACTTTGAGAACATTTCGCTCGGCGCCCAAGCGGGAAGGTCATTTCATTCACTTCGAGCGGGGGGGGGGGTGCCGCGCGCAGTTCTTGCCATGCATTTTTGCGGGGTGGATGACAAGAACAGTTATGTGGGCAGGGAAAATCAGCATGGCACCGTTTCTGACAAGACAGGTGGCCCCTCCTGCCTTGGGGTTGCCCCAGAAGTCCGCGCGCGATGTGCGCCGCGCCCCATTCCTGCCACGCATTTCGCATCGTCGACGACAAGACAGGCCATGATGAAAGGAAAAACGGCAACTCCGCATTATTTTTACAGTTAGGATGGGAGGGCCCGCGGCCCGCATGGACGTCCGCGCGCGATGTGCGCCGCGTCCCATTCTTGTCACATATTTCGCACCGTCGGCGACCAGGCAGGCCATGCTGAGAGGAAAAAAACGGAGATTTTGTATGGATATTTTACAGTCAGGATGGGCCGGCCCGGATTGACGGCCGCGCGCGATGTGCGCCGCGTCCCATATGCGCGCCGCGTCCCATTGCTGCCACATCTTTCGCACCGTCGGCGACAAGGCAGGCCATGCTGAGAGGAAAAAAACGAAGACTTTGTATTGATTTTTTACAATCAGGATGGGCGGGCCCAGATTGACTGCCGCGCGCGATGTGCGCCGCGTCCCATTCCTGCCACGCTTTTCGCATCGTCGACAACAAGAAAGACAATGTTGAGAAGAAAAACGGCCACTTTGTTTTTATTTTTTGCAGTCCGGATGGGAGGTCCCGGATTGGGTTGCTGGCGGCCGGAATACGACGTAGGTGGGGGTATATGATAATCAGGAACAAGGATTGGTGTTAGGGGTGGTCGGGGTCGGGTTCCGGAGACCGGGGGCGCCGTGGCGAAAGGAGGGGGGGGCTGAATTTGGCGGCCAGAGGGGGAGATGGGAGGGGGCGGGCCCCCCATCCCCCCCCCTTTGAAAGGGGGGAAAGGGGGGGGGCGTCCCGACGACGGATCGGGAAAGGGGAGAGGGGGTGGGGGGGTCCGCGACGACGGATGGGTGGTCCCCCCCCCCCTTGGGGTCATCCAGCGGCGCGCCCTCGTGTTCGGTCGGATCATCCAAGCTGGCGTTTTAGGCCATGTGAAGCTAGTGCGTGGCACTCGCTGCCGAAAGACATGCACCAGCATTCTGAGCTCCTCTAACCTACATGCTTCAGCCCACTTTAGGCTTGTTCATTTATTTGGGGTCCGTGGCTTTATTCATGAGAAGACCGACGCCTTCTCTAAGCTAGCGGACTCATCTATGCTAATGGATTGGGCTATGTTGCGCTACATCGCAGCAGCCAAGGCCACACGTTCCGCAACAAAAATATGTATTGTGAGTTGTTGTCTTGGGTTTATTTAGGTTGTATTGATTTTGTCCGACCATTAGCCTCGAAAACAACAGCATCCGTATCTCTCATAGGTGCCGCTAAGCTAACGTGTCAGGCGAACATGTATTTTTAAGAAGGACTTGGAGCACGGACGCGCGTTGATTCACGAAATCATATACCTGCCAGAACTGCATCACTCAAGAACTGTGTGGTGATGCCGGTACCTCCTTGTATATAGCTCCTGTAAGTTGCCCGCGCCGCTGTAATGTTCTTTCTTACTAGTTATTTTTCCTCTGGCCTCTTTCCTTATTCCTCTTGAGAGGTCCTTCAGGCCTCTGGAGGACCTCTCGTTTGACTTTTTTGGTGGTATGTTAGGCCTCGTGTCGGCCTTTTAAGTGTTTCCTGGCGACCTCGTAGATCCTCCCGGGGGCGTCGTGGGGGCCTCTGGGGGCCTTTGGGGGGGCTTCTGCTAAAGGGCATGTGTGTAGGGAGTCTCGAAGGTTTCTTGGAGGGAAGGGCTTTCGCGGCACGCTCGATGTCTTTCTCTCAGGCCCCTTCTCGGGTTTCTTTTGGGGGGCATTTAGGCCGTCTTTCGGGCCTTTTTGTGGACCGTTTTAGGACCCCCTTGGGCAGTCTCTGCGGCCTCTTGGGTCATCTTCGGGCTTTTTGTTGAGCGTCTGGGCTGTCTTGGAGCCTTACTTGGCGCTTTTGGCCAGTCTCGGGCTTGCGGAAGCCAGCAAGGGCCAATATGTTCAGATTCTTCAAAAGCCCAAGGGGGAGCAATGCTTTGGGGCTCTCGGGGGCATCTTGTGCGTCCTCTCGAAGGCTCTTGGGGTGTTTTGGGGGCCTCTTGGGCTGCGTTGGGATAACCCATTGCAGAAAGCGCGTGCCGCAGGAGCCAGCGAGTACGCACGCATGCAGCATAGCCTTCGCTGTGGGAAGGGTGTGGTGTCACCTTTTTTCCAGCAGCCGCGGGCTCCCCGGGGTTTGCGACTTCGCGACGCTGGTGCGGGGCCGCAGAGTTGCATTCGACCTGCCTCCCGACGAGTAGACGAAGTGTAGAGACTTCGCGGAGCGAGCGGACCTTCTCCACGCGGTGCCCTGCCGTGGGGATGGAACTCGCCGTGCAGCCTTTCGCGCGGTGCATTCCGTGGCGTTTTTGCGCAGGGTGGGAGGCAGCTGTCGTCGGGGCGCGACTGCAGAGGCGTGCCGCCTGTTGGACGAGCCCGTGTACAATTCCCGCCCCATCATGCGGCGTTCAGGAGCGAGGGCAGCATGCTGTGCTGAATGGCTTTCGGTACAGTGCGGCGATCCCTGCGAAGAGCACATCGAAAAAGGAGGCGGGAGAGGCGATGATCCGGGATCTGGGGAATCTCTAGGGCCTCCCTGTTCGCAGTCTCCCGCGCTTTTTTGTTGATGTCTCGTGGGTCCGCGGCGAGCCTTTCGAGGCGCGGCGTATCTGGCGTTCGCGAGTCAGTATGATTTGGACCTGGGTGTGATTGGGCATTGGCGATGCCCAGCTCAGCGCACCTTGGTTATTTATGCAGCGGCAGTGACGGTGTTTTTCCATGTATCAGCTAATGCTGCGGTAGCGGGGGCAGTTCCGTCGCGCGGCGTTGAAGATGGCGGCGAAGGGGGAACCCGACAACTCGCATTGCTTGGTGCGGAAGGCGAGCACCGTGCACGTCGGAATCTCAGAGGTTTTTGCGGATTCTCTCTGCGCGGGCCGACAGAGGCCACTGCCTTCCTGCGCTCGGCAAGGCCGTTGGAGGTTCCAGCGGGCAGCGCGAGACGGCGCGCTCATATGGCGGTCGACACCGAGCGCGCGGAGACGAAGCGCAGCTTGCGGCACATGCCGATGGTGGCCTGCTGCCGGTCGGCGCGCGCCCGTGGAACAGACACTTCTCTCGGAGGGCACCAACTATACACCAACACCGATCCTGGCCCAGGATCACCCTGGGCCCAGGATCGGTGTATATGCCTTCTTGCGCAGGGCAGGAGGGCGTATACACCGATCCTGGGCCCAGGGTGATTCTGGCCAGGATCGGTGTTGGTGTATAGTTGGTGCCTTCCGATTCTCGGACTCCGGGCCGAGCGTTCAAGAATCTGAACACGGAGCATCTGGAGTACCAGAGCGGCAGGATCGTGTTGCAGCGAGAAGGCATTTGTGTGCGCGCCTGGCGGGGCGCCCCCGCATGCGGAGTGCCATTTGTGCAGGTGCCCCGCGGCAGCTGTTAGGGGTTGCGGGGGAAGTTCGCCGCGGCGCCGCTGTCTGCGCCCATCCAGACGGCGCAGAGGCGCAGAGCGGGTTCCAGGGCGTCCTGGGGCAGCAGGCATCGCCGGCGTTCCGTTGTCCTTCTCACGCCTCCGCCCGCCCTCCGAAGTGGCGTTTCCCAGGCGCGCGCGTGCGCGCGCGGGGCTCGCTGGCGCGGGGGGGCCGCAGCCCATGTCGTTCTTGGCCGAGGGCGGGGGCGAGGACGTGGATGGCCCGCATGTGTCGCGGCGCTCCGCAGAGCGGCTCTGGCGGCGCGGCCCGCGCTGTTCGGCTGTCTGCGAGCTGCAGACTTCAGTTTCTGAAGGATGAATGTCCTGCTGCGAGGAGCGACGATGGGTCGGTCGTCGAGCCTCGGCCCACCTCGTCCTCCTCTTCCCTTGTTTTTTCTGTCGCCGTTGTCGCCATCCTCCTCCTCCTCTTCCTCCTCCCCCTCCTCCTCCTCCTCCTCCTCCTCCTCCTCGGTCTTTTCCCTTTTCTCCTCGTTGTCGCCGTCAAACCCCTCGAGCTGCCGCGCGCGCGGGGGTGGGCGCAGGTGCGCGCGCGGGGCGTTTTTTTCTGCGCCCCTTTTGGCGGGGGGGGGCGCCCCGCAGGTCACTGTGCGACGCGGCGGCCTGGAGGCGTGGCGCGCAAGGGGAGGGCGAAAGGGGTGGGGAGGGGGAGGGCGGGGATGTCGGGGGGGAGGGGGAAAAAGGGAGAAGAGGAGGGGGATGACGGGGTGGTGGAGGAGGGGCAGAAATATGGCGGGGGATGGTGATGGTGATGATGGGGATGACAACGGCGATTCTGGTGCAGACGATGGTGATGGTGATGGTGATGATGATGATGGTGGTGGTGATGACCATGGCGGCCATGATTATGTTTCGGAGTTGTGAAAACGGACAACGAGGAGTAGGGGGAGGCGGAGGAGGAGGAGGAGGAAGAGGAGGAGGACGACGAGGAGGAGGAGTAGGAGGAGGAGCAGAAGGAGGAGGAGGAGGAGCAGGAGGAGGAGGAGTTTGAGTATGAGTATGACCATTGTAACAAAAGTCAGAAGCTGGAGAGGAGGAAGAGGAGGAGGAGGAGGAGGAGGAGGAGGAGGAGGAGGAGGCAGGAGGGCAACGAGGACAGGGATGGGGGGCGGCGGGGATGGTGAGAGGGAAGGGGATGGGTATGGGGGGAACTGGTTGCGGGAGGGGCAGGTTGAAGAGGATCAGCAGGAGGAAGGAGAGGATGATGATGATGACGATGATGATGATGATGATGATGATGATGATGATGATGATGATGATGATGATGATGATGATGATGATGATGATGATGATGATGATGATGATGATGAGATGATGATGATGGATGATGATGATGATGATGGATGATGATGATGATGATGATGATGCTGCTGATGCTGATGCTGATGCTGATGCTGATGCTGATGATGATGATGATGATGATGATGATGATGATGCTGATGCTGATGCTGATGCTGATGATGATGATGCTGATGATGATGATGATGATGATGATGATGATGATGATGATGATGATGATGATATGATGATGATGATGATGCTGATGATGATGATGATGATGATGATGTGATGATGATGATGAGGAGGAGGAGGAGAGGAGGAGGAGGAGGAGGAGGAGAGGAAAGCGGAGGAGGAGGAGAAGCGGGCGGGGGAGGGGGAGGGGGAGGGGAGGGGGAGGGAGGAGGAGGAGGAGGGAGGAGGAGGAGGAGGAGGGAGGAGGAGGAGGAGGAGGAGGAGGAGGAGGAGGAGAGGAGGAGGGAGGAGGAGGGGGGGAAGAGGACGCTGATGTGGGCCGTGGGAGGGAGGGAAGGAGGAAGGAGGGAGGGAAGGAGGGGGACCAGGAGGGAAAAAGTCGTCGACCTCGCCTTCGTCGTTGTTGCCCAGCCCATGCCGCTCTCCTCGTCGGGGCTGTGGGGGGGGGTGGAGGATGTGGAGGAAAAGAGTGTAGGAGAGATGTGGGGGAGGAAAGTGGCGGTGAGAGGTGGGAGTGGTGAGCAGGGGGAGGGACGAAACAGGATGTGGATGAGCGAGAGAATGAGAGAGAGAGAGAGAAAGAAAGAGAGAGCGAGAGACAGAGACAGAGACAGGGGGAGAGGTGAAGGATATGGAACAGGAGGGGGAACAGTAGGTGGAGGAGAAGGAGGAGGAGGGAAGAAAAGGAGGAGGAGGAGGAAGCAAAATGATCAGGATCTCGCCCTCGTCGTCGATTTCACAATTTTTTGTTCGCTGGTCACGGCGCCTTGGGCACGTTTTTTGTTGGTTTCAATCCGTGGTCTCAGGGGCTTTCGACCCCTTCCCAGGACGGGTTTTTGTTGTGGCTCAACCTCCATGGGCCGAACACGAAAGAAAATGTCGGGACGGACAAAGTCGCACCATCAGGCGAGTTAGGGTCTTCCGGCTCAAGGCTAGTCAAGACGGGTACTTGGACCCCCCTGGGGGCTCATCTTGGCAATGATTCTCGTGACGCGCCCAGCTGTGGCGACCAGAACTCCGCGAAGCATTCGAAAACCTCGTAGACGGCGGCGTCGGCGCCGTCGTCAGCGGTCTGGGCCGCCGGAGACCTCGACTGGTTTTTGGGGGCAGATGCCGACGCCGCCCAGAAGCCCCGATCCTCGCCGTTGCCGTCGCTGCCGCCCCCGCCGCCTCCGTTGTTGCCGTCGTTGCCGCCTTCGCCGCCGATAGCTCCTTAGACCCGCAACCAAGAACCAGGCGCGACGACGACGTCGCCGCTGCCCGCCGACGACGACGACGAGACGACGACCACGAATAACCCCAGGAAGCATTTAAGAAACCCCTCGGCGATATCGTAGCACCGCACTTTTTATTCGATATTCCGAAGGGCCGAAATAACGGGACGACAGCTGTAGCACCCGGACACGATGATGATGATGATGATGATGATGATGATGATGATGATGATGATGATGATGATGATGATGATGATGATGATGATGATGATGATGATGATGATGATGATGATGCGGATATGGATGATGGTGCGGAAGGGTTATCGATTTGCCGGAGGGGGGGGGGGGTTCTTAAATGCTTCCTGGGGTTACGAAAGCGACGACGAGAGGCCTCCGAGAAGACGACGGCGACGTCGCCGCCGCCCTCGCCGGCGGCGAGGCGTCCACGGACCTGCGCCTCTCCGTGCGGGCGGGGACGCTGCCCGCGTCGCTGTCTTACCCGGGCGTTGCTGCGAGGCGCGCGGGGTGGGGGGGGCTCCGCTGATGCGCGGCCGCCGCGCGGGCCTCCCCATGGAGCGGCGGCAGCCCGTCTCTATTGTATGCATGTATGTGTGTATGTGTGTATGTATGTATGTATGTATGTATGTATGTATGTATGTATGTATGTATGTATGTATCTATATATATATATGTGTATATGTATATGTTTATGTATATGCATATATATATATATATATATATATATATATATATATATATATATGTATCTATATATGTATATATATAGCACGGAGGCTCAGACAAGACACACATTCCCGGCACCGAACCTTCAGCGTGTGTACTTTCTCATACACCCATGTCTTGCAGTGTTCCTCATATGTTGCGGTGTCTCTCATATCTTGTAGTGTTTCTTGCAGTGCTTATCATTTCTTCTGCTGGGATGGTTTCGCAGGAATCTCGTAAGCGATTGACAGCCAGGGCCTCGGTCATGGAGGCCAAGCTGCTCAAAACCAGCAAGTTCGAAGATGTCCAAACCTTCATGGGCAGGGTCCGGTCGTCCTTCGCGGAAGTGAGTTTGGATGAAGATGCCATGGGCGCTCTCCAGAAGGGCAAGAACCACCAGTCCCCACAGCAGGTCTTCTGGGAAGGCTTGGATCTCGAAGTGGAAGACGAGGCCGACGGTGAATTCTGGCAGGATCAATCCTCTGAGTTCTCCCATTTCGACAGCCGGCTGAAACCGGCGGAAAAACGTCTCGACTTCCATGACCAGCTCCACGCTGAAGCAGAGAAAGAGAAGAGGATCGGACACTTGTCCATTCGCCGGAAGGGCCCCATGGACATCCCCACGTTCCATTCTGAGGTGAAAAAGTTCCAGGCAGCAGTTGGTCAATCCAAGGACATCGGGAAGTCGGTGTCCCAGCAGGTTGTCATGGGGGACGAGGTTCTGGTTGAGGCTTGGAGCAGCAACACAAAGGGAGAGCTAAAGTCGGCTCGCATTGATCTCGTCCGGGAGGAATCATTCAAGCTCCTGGTGCTGAATTGTATTGGCGAGTCCGCGAAGCACCTCGGAAGGGTTGCCCGGGTCTTCCACAGCTCTCTTTACCAAATGGCAGAGGCAGGTTCCGTTAATCTCGGGCGCCCGCAGCACATCCGGCGCAGCTTCCAGGGCTTCGATGCGTCTGAGTACGAGTGGGATGTGAGGGCCGCTGCTGAGAAGGACGCGGAGGACGACGCGGTGATCGCACGGGGCTCCGTGGAGCACCGCGGGAACGACAGCAAGTGCATGGCCATCCTGATCGCCGAGAGCATCCCCTTCACGAAGGGGAAGGGGGCCGCCAAGGGCAGCGACCTCCTTCCGCTCTTCAAAGACAGCTTGCACAACGCGGTCGTGCCCCCATTCGAGATTGAGACCAAGATCGTCGACGGCAGCCTGCTGACGAGAGCCCCCGAGAGGGGCCGCCCCAGCAGGGCGCCCGCCGACGCCGCCTGGGCCTCTGCAGGCGCCGCTGCCTCCGGAGGCGGCAAGAAGGAGAAGGGCAAGGAGAAGCCGAAGACCAAAAAGAAGGCCAAGAAGGAGACCTAGGGGTCGCAGGCCGGAGACAGGGGCACTCACGATCCAGCTGTTCGGCAGGCTAGGCCGGACACACATCGTAGCTCGGAACATCCCTTCCCCCCCCCCCCTTCGTCGGACCCCCCCCGCCTCGCTGCCCGGGAGCAGGGCCCCAAGCCATCGAAGGCAGGAGTTTTTTTCGCAACGTCGTTCCCCGGACCTCTCGACCCCGTCCCTGGCGCCTTTTCGGGCCCCCAGTTCGTTTGCAGGGGTCCACTGAGACCCTTCGCGGAGATCGCGGCTGGCGAACCACTGCGGGCGCCTCGTCCTCTTCGCTCTGGCTCAAGTTCTCAGGCTCAAGTGCAGACCCCCACGCTGGGGAAGTCCGCGCCACTGCGTCGCCACCTCAATATGAGTTTCAACGCTGCTTTTCCGCAGGTGGCCCGTCGTGGACAGGGGGCTCCTGGACACGGCGGGGCCAGCTCGGGCCTGACGCCCCCGTCTCCCCGGCCATGGGCTGTGGCAGGACTGCAAGATGGGGCAGGGTGCTCCCGGCGGGCCTGCCGGGCCCCTGCAGCGTCGGACCAGACCGTCCTGCAATATAGTCGCACGCTGCTGCTGAGGCACCGCTGCGCCGGCAGTGGCTGCGCGGGTCAGCCGCGGGCGATCTCCACCCAGCGGAGACCGATCGAGCCTCAACCTGAGGTTTTCGGTGCACCCCGCCGCCTGCGAAACGCAAATCGAGGCCTACGCAAGCCCACATCGATCGCCAGACGCCAGAAGCAACGCTCCTTGCGTCGAGCGGCATGCCGTCGCTCACGGAGGCCAGAGAATTCCTCCATTCGGCCCGCCCAGCGGGCTCAGGAAGGTCGTCGTTCCCTCCCCCCCAAGCTACCGCAGCGCACCCAACTTACGGTCAGTGCCTTTAACCCCCATGGCATTCAAAAGCTGGGCAAACGCGCAGCTATCGACAATTGGATGCGCCGTAGGAGCGTTGACATTGTCTTTCTCCCAGAATCGCACGCCTCCCATCACAGTAGAGAAGTCCGCAAGGACACTCTATGGTACCATAGCTCCACGGAGCAGCCTTCGGGTCCGCAAAGGCACGGCATTTCTGCAGTTCTGCACAAACGTCTTGCGAATAATATCTTCGACATACAACCCGTATCAGAGCGCATCGTATTTGTCAAACTTCGGTGCCCGGGCCGCTCATTAGCCTTCGTGGGCCTCTGCGCGCCCACGGCCGGCTATGGTCACTTGTCCAGCAAACCTATAAGCCCGCGAAGCACAGCTGCATTACATACTTCTTCGGCGACTTGAATGCACGGGTGCAAATCAATTCAGGAGACGATCCGGCGGCGGTTGGCTGGCATACTTTCGACCGAGAACACACCTCTCTCAAGTCCCAGACCCCGGAGGTCAGCGACAGCCGAGAGCGTCTCTTAGACTTCTGTGGACAGCGCCGCCTCCAGCTCAGCAACACATTCTTTTCGAAACCACAGCGTAAGCTATGCGCATACCTCCGACACAAAGACCAGGAGGTTGAGCCGCCATGGCACCGACCCAAGTATGAGACGCTCGATTATGTCATCACACCCAAGCGTTGAAAAAAAAACACTATCTTAAATTGTGAAGCCGGCCCCCTGTCGGGTTTGGAATCCGACCACTTCCCGCTGGTGTGTGCCATCCGTGTCAGACTCAAGGCAATGAGACACACCTCACTCAAGCCGCCGGCGCAGTGGCAAGCGCCGGATCGCGAGTCCCGACATGCATGCAATCGGAAGCTCACGGATTTGGACCACCGGCCAACCGCTACGGAATACAGGGACCTGATGCTCGCATCCGCACAGGAGCATCTCCAGGAGGAGAGAATCGCCCGCAAGGGTGTCAGCATCTCCCCTGCACTGGGCCGGAAATTCGTGGAGCGCACCGAAGCCAAGCGCATTGGCGACCACGCCAGGTACAAAGTGCCGTGCAAGGAAATTCACAAAGACATCAAGCTTGCCAAAAAGCAACACATCACAGACACGTTATCCAAAACCTTCGACATAAGGGAGTGATGGTTGGGTGTTCGACAGCTGAAAACTGGTTATCATCCGATGCCATACCATACCAAAGTCGATGGCAAGCCCGTCCCAGTACACTTGCGGGCAGAGGCTGCGGCCGCCCATCTGGCAACCAAGCAATGGAGGAAACCGGACAGGTACCGCCCGAAATTTGGATCCTCCCAGCTCGTCGACAGCACCCTGCCAGTCGAAACAGGCCCCATCACGTTGCCGGAGTTAAAATCGCTTCTCACAAATTGGAAACGACACAAGGCGCCCGGCCCACATGGTTTGTCCATGGATCTCGTCCGCGAACTCGGTAACGACAGCCTCCAAAGCGTCCTCGACTTTCTGAATCAATGGTGGTCCGATGAGTTCGTACCGGACGATATGTTGGCAGCCAGGGTGGTGCTCCTGTTCAAGAACAAGGGCAGCGCTGCCAACCTCGACAACTACCGCCCCATCTCCCTGCTGAGCTCGTTCTATAAACTCATTGCGGGGGTCCTCAAAGACCGCGTTGCCAAGAAGGTTGACCACCTCCTACAACCGGCGCGATGTGGATTTCGGGCACGGCGCAGCACGTCCCAAGCCTTGAAGATCGTCAGACAGATGGTTCACCAAGGCGCCAGCACCCAAAATTACAAGCAGGGAAAGGCGTTCGACCGCGTCGCACGCGAAGCCTTCTTCAGCGTTCTGGAGCGCATGCAGCTGCCGGCCAAAATCGCTAACGTTGTGAAAGCCTTGTATAGGAACCCCACTTGCCAGGTAGGCAAGGACAACTACGACTCAAAATGGCACCGCCAGCACGCTGGGATCCGCCGGGGCTGCCCTCTCTCACCGTATCTCTTTCTGATCGTTATGCATGTGCTGTTCCAGGACATCTACAGCAAGCACGGCGCGTCGCTTTCGGAAGGGCGTCCGCCCGGAGTTACATTCGACGCAGTCCTGTTCGCTGACGACACGATGTGCGTTTCTTCCAATAAATCTCAAATCGCACGCATGCTGCACGCCATTGAAAAAGAAAGCGCGCGTTTTGGGCTTAACCTAAACATAACAAAATGTGAACTCATGGTCATAGGACAGCCATGTCGGATAAAGTACCGGGATGGCACACATGTTTCGTCCGCGGAGACGGTGAAGTATTTGGGCTGCTCCGTTGACAGTAAAAATGACGTCGGTAAAGAGACCAGCGCACGCATCCGCAACTGCTACCAAACGATGCAACGAATTGATGCATTCAGGCTGCACAGCGATTGCTCGGCCTCGCAAACAAAAAATACAAGTATTCAGCGCTGCATGCAGATCGAAATTGTTGCACGGCTTAGAAACCACTCAATTGACCCCCGGGCAGACACAGCGGCTCGACGGCTTTCAATTGAAAGGCCTCCGCAATATCCTTGGGATCTCGACTACGTTCGGCCAAATGGCCCAGGGCCAGGACCGCACGAACACGAGCGAGTACATCTACAGCCAAGCCCAAAATGCCCTCAATAGCAGGAGACCTCATAAGGCCCTCGAGCGCTTCAGCGCCACGTACGAAAAACTCAAGCTTGATCTGCTCTGCCGCCTGATCTCAGCCCCCGCGACGGACCCAGTCGCCTCCTGCATTTTCGACCCACACACGCTCCGGAGTTGGAACTATGGCCCCAAACGCGTCGGGAGACCAAGGAAGGCTGGCGAGTGGTACGAGCATACCGCAGACACCCTCTGGCGGACTTCAGTCGTGCCGCCCCGGCCATGGCTCGAAGACACAGCGCTCGATCTTACACTGACCTTTCATAGACTTCTCCTACGAGTCACGGCGTGGCAAAGGATGAAGAAACTCCACCCCTTGTTATATCGAGAGCGTTTTCCCCCACCGCCCGTTTCCCCAGCAGGAACAGACGGGGTGGGGCTGCGCTTCGGCGACAGGTGGATCTACGCAGGCTGACCACACTACTCCTTCTATTTTGCCACCGCCTACGAGGAAAGAAACAACTCTGGTCCGCCCTGCTTGGGCGGCCCTTGCCCCCTCCCTCCGTCGCTGCCGCCTTGGGTCCGCCCCGTTCCCCCCCCCCTTCCCTTCCCCCTCCCCCCCCCCTTCCCTTTCCTCCCTCTTCTCTCTCCCCCCCTCTCTCCCTCCCCCCTTCCCCCCCCCTTCCCTCCCCGCTTCCCTCCCCCCCTTCCCTCCCCCCTTCCCTCCGCCCTCTCCCCCCCCTGGGGGGGGGGCGGATGTTCCATAGGTGACCGTTGGATGATGCCGGCCAGAAGCCCCGGCCGCACGCTGCTAGCATGAATCGATACCCCGGCCGCAGAAATGACGATCGGCTACAGGAGGCTTCGCCTCCCAGCTGCCCGTGTAGAGAGCTAGGTCCGGAGTTCCTCCTCGGACTGGGTTCGCGGCAGCCGAGCCACGAGCATATATATATATATATATATATATATATAGATGTGTGTGAACGGTGCCGCCCCCTATGCAGCAGGGGACAGGCAGCAGCGACGAAAAGCACTTCGTGGAATTGGAGCCTTGGACAATGGATCAAGAGATGTACGCGTGAAGCCGAACGAGCTCTGAAGGATTTTCACATGGAAGATTGGACCCGTCAGCAACGCCTGCGAAAGTGGGAATGGGTTTAGAAATCATCGATTGCACCTCAATCCGAATGGGCGTGCAGAGTCTCCATGGTGGGAGCCCGATCATCATCCTGATCTTGGCGCTCGACGGCGACAGCACTGGCCTGAACGGCGATGGTTGGATGACGTGTTCCATTTCTCTATCTTGCACCATACCAAATGGGACGACGCGGACAAGGACATTCCAACGGAGGCCCGGGTTCCATGTGATGCCTTGCATCTTCTTGTACGCATTGCGTAATCGAGTGCTTGGATGAGCCATGAGGAGGGGTTTGCTGAGCTTTCCTTGAAATCCATTGGCGGCCCAGGTTAGTAGGTCGACCCTGCCAGGTCAAGGGTGCTTTTGTGTCCTGTGCATCGCGCGTCGTGTCCTCTGCAGCCCAGGGGCAAGGTATCCTTGCGTCCTGTGATTTGGGAGGCCCTGTTGGCGTCGGAAGAGTCTTGTGTCCTGTCGCGGGTCCTGTGCGCAATGTTTTGCCGGTAATTGTCACGCATTTGTTGCATGTGTCACTTCAATCTGGGCGTTTCGGCCTCTCCCTGCGCACCGTCGCGGTGCATTTTCGCAGGTCGAAGTTCGCCTCGCCTTCCTGGTGCTGTCCTCCACTTACCGCGTCATCCTTCTACCCCCGAAGGGGAGGAGGGAGGAAATCGAGCGGGAAGGAGGTGGTGGGCATGGGCAGATGACGAGGGAAAGGGAGGTGGAGGGTAGTGGAGGAGGGCGGTCGCCGTCGCCATCCCGCCAGGGACATCTGATATTTCTTGACGTACTTGGCGATAAGTAGGCTTCTGGACCCCTGGAGGCCCCCAGTGGCCTCCAGAGTCCGTAGCACGTCGCCGACGTCGCCGCCGCCGTCGCCGTCACCGTCGCCACCGGCGGCAGCGCGGACCTCCCCGCCGTCACGGGCGACCAGCATCGGCCCCGGGACCCCTGCGTGGGGCTAGTCCTGGCCAGCTCTCTGCTCACCATCCGGACGCGGCGTCGGGGAGCTTGCGGACGATCGGGAGAGCACAGAAGCCCCCAGAGCGGCGACGGCGCCGCCGCCGAGGCGTTCCGCGGGCGACGGTGCTGAGCTCGCCGCCGCCGCCGCCGTGGTGGTTGTGGCCGCCGCCGCCGCCTCTGCCGCAGAGGGGCTCCGTGGGCGACAGCGTGGAGCCTCTGCTGTTGCCGCCGGCCGCCGCCGCCGAGGTACACTGTGGGCGACAGCGTTGAGCTCGCCCCGTGCACGGATGGGCACAGCTTCTCCTCCTGGGCTGTCGAGCCTGAGCTGCCAGGTGCTCCGCCCCCCCGCCTGCTCAGCCTTCTTTGTAACTTGCACCGCCGTCCTTTCCCCCCTTGCCCTTCTCCTCCGCTTCTTCCTCCCTCTCTCCCCCTCCCTCCTCCTTCCTCCTCCTTCTCCTGCTGCTGCTGCTGCTCCTCCTCCTCCTCGTCCTCCTCCTCCTCCTCCTCCTCCTCCTCCTCCTCTCTCCTTCTCCTCCTCCTCCTCTCTCCTCCTTGTCCTCCTCCCCCCCCCTGCGCACCTCCCGTTTCCTTTCCTCCGCCTGTCTTACCCTCCGCTGGAGGAGGAGAGGGAGAAGGACGAGGAGGAAGAGGAGGAGGAGGAGGAGGAGGAAAAAGGATAGTAAGAAGGGGAAGAAGAAGAGGAGGAAAAGGAAACATAATAAGAGGAGGAGGAGGCGGAGGAGGCGGAGGATGCGGAGGAGGCGGAGGAGGAGGAGGAGGAGGAGGAGGAGGAGGAGGAGGAGGAGCGGGAGGAGCAGGAGGAGGAGGAGCAGCAGGAGCAGCAGGAGGAGCAGGAGGAACAGGAGGAGGATGCTTCGCCCTTTCGTACCTCGTCTCCCCCCTCCCCTCCCCCAGCCCTTCCTCCCCCATGGACATCCTTATTTCCCCTCTCGCCATCCACCCTCCTTCTCCCCGAGGACAGTTGCGGGCCCGTATGTTTCTCCACGGAGGCAATGTGTGCCCCGCCCCGCCACCATGCCGAGAAGTCCAAACAGGCCCCCCGTCCTTGCCTGCCCCTCTCCTCTTGCCGAAACCTCAGCGCGATCAACGATTTAGGCCATCTCGCCGCGGGCCTCTCGGGCCGCCTCGGGTGCCTCCGGGGGCCTCTCCGCGGAGCCTCTCCGCGGAGCCCCTCCGGGGGGCCGTCCGGGGGGCCCTCCCGGGGGCCTCCTGGGGGCGGGGCCCCCCTCCGACGCCGACGACGGCGGCGAGGGTGACGGCGCTCCCCCGAGACCTGCCCCCCGCGCGCGCGCAGCCGGGCTGCACCTGTGCCCCGCGACCGGGGCGATCTACGGCAGGCCGTCGGAGGCGCGGCGCCGGCCACGAGCACGAGGGGGCCGTGGCATCGCTCGGGCGTGTGCGTTTTTGTTTGCTGTTGTTGTGGTTGTGGTTGTGGTTGTGGTTGTTGTTGTTGTTGTGGTTGTTGTGGTTGTGGTTGTGGTTGTGGTTGTGGTTGTGGTTGTGGTTGTTGTTGGTGTGGTTGTGGTTGTGGTTGCTGTTGTTGTTGTTGTTGTAGTTGTGGTTGTTGTTGGTGGTGTTAGTGTTGTTGTTGTTGTTGTTGTTGTTGTTGATGTTGTGATCGTTGTTGTGGTTGTGGTTGTGGTTGTGGTTGTGGTTGTGGTTGTGGTTGTGGTTGTGGTTGTTGTGGTTGTAGTAGTAGTAGTAGTAGTAGTAGTAGTAGTAGTAGTAGTAGTAGTAGTTGTTGTTGTTGTTGTTGTTGTTGTTGTTGTGGTTGTGATTGTGGTTGTGGTTGTGGTTGTGGTTGTGGTTGTGATTGTGGTTGTGATTGTGGTTGTTGTTGTTGTTGTTGAACATTATTTATTCTAAAGAATAATTATTGTTGGGCCCCCTGGTGCGCGCCCCCCCTGCGCCGCCGAGGCCGCAGCTACATTTTCATCATTTTCGTGAGGAAGCCTCAGGTAAAACGATGTGATCCAGATCCGGTTGTTTTGTTGTAATCCGCTTTCCCTTGCAAAAAACACTATAAAATGACATTTCTTGTTCTAATATAATCAAATTTCAAGAATCCCTTGCAAAAAATAAGGTAAAGTGGACATTCGCGCGCGCAAGACGAAATCCTTCCAAAAGCTTAGTGTTCGCAGCGATTTTAACATAAAAACATCAAAAAACCAATGGTTTTTCAACAAAAAAATGTCAAAATTTCATCCCGCGCGCTCTTGCGGATTCGTAGGAAACCCAACACTTTTTAAACATTTCTGTCAAACGGGCTTTTGCGAGCAACTTTTTCGAACTTCTGCGACAACGGTTGCGCACCTGCCAGGGCCATCATCCCTGTCAAATAATACCATGCGGGACACATTCGTTTTTTCTTCGCGCGCGCACGCCGAAATCTCCAAAAACCATTGGGCTTCTTAAGAATTTTAGCACCGCGCATCATAAAATCACACGAATCGCACCGTAGGTCCTCGAAAAACACCTGCACGACTTTTCAAAATTTCTACCCGCGCGCGCTGTCCTAACAACTTCTGTGGGTGTGTACTCCACGCCAGTGTAGTAGCCACGGTCGTCCGCAGGCCACGAAGTGAAGTGTCCGAACGTCATAGGGCGGGAAGCTGGGTGTGGGTGGTGGCGAAGAGTCGTGTGGATATTTGGTAGAGCTTGCACTGCCCCCCCACAAAGTGGGGGTATTGGCTGGCGTCGCATGAAAACCCTGGCACTGGTGAGAACACTGAGCGTTCGGGTAAAGTGATTGTTGTTGTTGTTGTTGTTGTTGTTGTTGTTGTTGTTGTTGTTGTTGTTGTTGTTGTTTGGTCTTCTCGGCGAGGGCCATCGAGGAGCATCTTGGATCATCGTGCGCAACATGTCGGAGGCCTCAGTGGGCCCCAGAAACGGCAGGGCCGTTTTGTGAACCGGTTCCAGAAACGGCAGGGCCGTTTTGTGAACCGGTTCCGGCGCCGTTTTCGTTTTCGTTTTCCGGCTCCGTCGCCGTTTTTTGTTACCAGTTCTGGCTCCGGTTCCAATGCAGTATCCGTTTTTTTGCTGTTTCAGGTCGCCGTTTTTTTGCCGTTTCTATTTTCAAGGGACCGTTTTTCGGAAACAGCGTAAAAACGGCCCTGGCGTTTCAGGGGCCCCTTAAATCGGAGGCCTAGAGGTTGACACCAACACCAATGTCGGCGGTGTGCCTCCATCGAGGCGAGACGATCCCGATCTCGGTGATGGTGGTAATATTTGGGTTGCTCAGGTGGCCGAAATATTTCCACCAGCATCCAACTTTAGGATAATCTTCCCCTGGTGGATGCAGCCCCCTGTGTTGGTGCTGTTGCCCATTTCCAAGCCTCCAAAATACACGGACGCAATCGAACAATGCAAGGGGAATGCACGTCTGAGCGATGGCGAAGATGAGGGAGGAGAAGGAGGATCGCGGCTCGCGTCACTCGCCAGGGGCGGAACGGGTCCTCAGGGAACGGGTCCTGAGATTCTTCGTCGCCGGGCTCTCGTGGCCCTCCACGGTGGGCCCCCGGACTGTCAGAAAAGGACTCAGGATGACGATCTCGTCTTGGGGGCAGGCCCCGGGGTCCAGGACGTGTTTCCCACAGGACGCGTGTCCCCCACGCTAAGTAGAGGAGGGGATCGCGGCTCACGTAACGAGGGTCAGCCAATCCCCTCCAAGATTCTCTCGCTGACCCAGGTTTGGGAGCCTCTTTGTGGCCAGCCTGGGCTCGCGACGTGGCCCTGGCTGACCTGGGTTTACACTGGCCAGGGTCTGTGCGTGCCCGGGAGGAGTGGGGAACATGGCGCGCGAAGTTCGAGGCTGCGAGACTCGACGCTCGAAGGCTTCTAGGGCATTGTTCGCCCTGTCGGGGCTTCTGGTGGGCCTCTCGTCGCCACTACCCATCGGTCGTTGAAAGTGGGTATTTTGGGAGGTCCTGGATTCCAAATCATTTTCAGCGCCTTCCTACTTCAATGATCGAGTGGCTTCACCTTTTCCTCCTTTTTAGGGGGCGGGCGGACGCCCAATCTTTTTTCAACGCCTTTCTAATTCATGGTTCTACCTACTTCTTCCGACCGACGGGTAATAGGTCCGCCTCGAGATTCTGGTCAGAACGCACCCCAGCACAGCCCCAGGGCGTCGTTTTGAGCCCTGACACCCTCGCGTCGTGGGAAGGAGGGGAATGGGATATCGGGCGGGTGGGATTCGGCATCCAGATCGGGGCTCACGTATCTGAATCGAACAAGACAGTATTCATGCATGTCCAGCGCCGATTCAGGAAATGCGCGCGGATCTCCGACATGCTAATGTTCAAGCCATGTTCCTCAGAGTAGCCGCAACCCGCGGATTATACAGCATTCTCCCCTTTCCCCTTGTAACAGTATCTGTTTATCCACGGGATTGAATGTGGTTCACTTGAAACAGCAGGTCGGGAGGCCGAAAGTTACTATCCCCTCCAAAAGTTCCTATCGTAGGTCTGATAGTGAGGATGTCTCAGGCGAAATGCGCTCCAGGCATCCTGACATCGATGTCTCCGAAAAAAGAGAATTGATTCTCCCGTCCGGATCCCGAACTTCATTATCTATCCCCAGTGGATTCTCACCAGGTTGTGGTTAGGACCGGAGGGATGAGTCAGACGGCTTAGGGCTGACGCAGGGCATTTGCGATCCCAGCGCTGACGCTCTGCACTTGCTCTTCAGCCTCTGCTGTACTTGACTGGTCCGCTGCGGGCCCATCCGCCGATCGGGGTAGGGGCTCGCTCCTTCGAGTATGGGATCGACATCAGAATTGATTTGCCCCCAAATTTGAATGTACGTCACAAGTCCCCCCAAAAAACGAACAACGCTCGCAGATCTACAGACATGCGTGTGTCCGTAGGTTCGGCTGAAGACAATCGGTTTGGGGGTAGCTCAATTCTGTGGCCGATCTCCTGCTCGACTCCCTCACCCAAGTCCACATCGCTGCAGGTCTCCTCCTCTCCTCTATCCTTCCCCGCGGGGGACGCGCCGCGCCCAAAGGGGCGGCGACCGCGCGGCCATTCGGAGGGCGGGCTCTCCTGGCCGGATGCTGGCCTCGTGTCTCCGGGCCTCCTGGATGGGGTCCGAGCAGCCGGGGTCGGAGGGTCGCGTCGCATCGCCGATGCATCGCCGATGCGGCTCGATGCGGAGCCCGATTCCCTCCACGCCGACGTCGCCGATACGCCGCCGACGTCGCCGATACGCCGCCGACGTCGCATTGGCGATGCGGCGCGATCCTCCGACCCCATCAGCTCGGACCCCATCTAGGAGGCGTCCAGTGAAGGCGTCGGAGCCTCCTCGGAAGCCTCCGCGGAAGGCTGCCCACCCATCGCTCGAAGAGCAAGCATGGTGTACACATACTTTCTCAGACCCCACCTAGGAGGCCTCTCGTGTCGATGCCTTCCCTTGCTTCCTTGCTCCCTTGCTTCCAGTCCTTCGCCTGCTCGTGTGCCTCGGCCGCCCGCCGGCCGCGAGGCAGGGCCGCCCGCTGCCGCTCGGAGGGAGGGCTGCGGGCGGGCTCGCCGGGGGCTCCTGCTCGGAGTCGGGGGCCAGAAGGGCTGGACGGAGGAGGGCGGCCACGCGCAGAGGGGGGGGGGAGGGGGGGGGAGGGCTTCTTAAAAGCACCCCTGCTTCTCAGAAGGCGCGGGCCTTCCCTGCAGATGTAAGAGAAAGGCGCCTTCTAAGAAGCAGCCTCCTGCTAAGAAGCCCTCCCTCCTCCCCCCACCCCCTTGTGCGCGCCGCCAAGGAAGGGCAAACGAAGGGTTCCCAGCGTCGGGATTGAGCTTGCTTCTGTGAAGCATCCCTCGGGTGCCCGAGAGGGCGACGCAAAAAAACGTGGCCGTCTTCGCCGACATTGGCGCGTAAGTTGCCCGCGTAAGCTCGTGCGTGAAAATACGTTGATCATGGTACGTTGACCATGGGAATCAATGAACATCTGGCAAATCTTGAAAACGAACGTGCGCGGCGCTAAGGCGAGAGGCACGTTTTGAAAAGGAACCGCCCTCAATCCGTGTAACGTCTGCACATGTTGAAAATAGAATGTGCGCGGCGCTGAGGCGAGAGCCACATTTTGAAAACGACCCGCCCTCAAAATGTGAAGCTTTTGCAAATTTTTAAAACGAAGGTGCGTGGCGCTAAGGCGAGAGCCACATGTTGAAACCACCCGCCCTCAATCCGCGAAGCTCTTGCACATGTTTAAAACGAATGCGCGCGGCGCTAAGGCGAGAGCCGCATTTTAAAACCACCCGCCCTCATTCCGTGAAGCTGGTGTCATTTGTTCAGCTTCAGAGTCAAAAGTGGTGAGGAAGTCTCAGGCGAAACGCCCAGCCCGCCCTAAAAACCGGCCTTGGGGTGCGACAGGGAGGATTATCTTTAAGGAAGAGGAAAGAAGGAGGGTGACAAGGAAGGAGGGGGAGGAAGAGGGAGCAGGAAAAGGAGGAGTGAGGAGGAGGAGGAGGGGGAGGACCAGTGTAAGCCAAGAGTCACCAACGATGTTGGAGTAAACCCTCCCTCCAAGCTCCCTCTTCAGTGGCCCCTAAGACGGTTCATTTTCACTGACGGGGCTTAAAGGACAGCCTTTGGAAGACCCTGACGCGTGTCAGAACTTTGCTCTGTGGATCCCAACGCCACGAATCAATCTGACTGTTGCGTCTTGACGATCTTGAATCGTGCCAGAACGCCGTTGTTGGGACTTCAACACGGCGACTCAACGCAATTGCTGCACACTCATAATCCCGACCCCTTCTGAAACACATATTCTGTACGTTGATCATGGGAAACCGTGGAACCCTTGCACATGTGTAAAATGAATGTGCGCGGCGCTAAGTCGAGAGCTTCATTTTGAACAGAAATCCCGATGAATCCGCGAAGCTCGTTGGCAAATGTTTAGAACGACTGCGCGCGGCACTAGGGCGAGAGCCACATTTTGAAAAAGAACCGCCTGCAATCAGTGAAACGCCATGCACATTTGTGAAGCGAGTGTGCGCAGCGCTTATGCGAGAGC